GAAGGTTTTTACTCAGGAAAAAAGAGAAATTGATTAAGTGACTCTAAACGAAGTCTATGTTTATTCTAATTGAACTGCTATTTGAAAAAGTAAGGCTGGATCCTGAAGAGGAGAAAGTCTGTGGGTTTCGCCCTGACCAGTACACCTGTCAGCATGACATAAGCAGGAAGCCGAAGTATCCAATTTCTCTTCCTAAACTTGCCCAAAACATGCTTCAAGCTGTACTAATTCAAAATTTTAATTACTCTTAACAGATCATCTGATAAAATAAACCAAACAATGGAAAAGTTTTGTCTATCCTTGTTAAAATGCTTGCCTGTGCAAGAATCACAGCAGCATTCCTGAAAACAATAATAATTCAACTGTTTCTCTAGGTCACATACAAAATTGTTGTACTGCTAGAAAAACAGTTGTTTTTAAGCATAGGCAGCCCAAACTGCATCCGCACAGCCTCCCCTTGCTCATTCTAAATCAGTGAAATACTTCAGTAAAAAGAAAGCTGGAGAACTTTAGCAGATCTCCAGCATCACATAAAATCATATTAGCAATGTCTTATGAAGCTGATCTCTACATCAATTTGACAATTTGGCACTGTTAAGAACAAAAACCATCTGGATATTCAAAAGCAAATTTAAATTTATGTCTTTTTAATTTACTTTAACAGTGGGTCAATGAAATCATCCAAAGGGGTGAAATTTTATTTTCTCCCAGTCACTCCATAGTCTTTATGTAGAGCATGCTTAGCCCTATATGTTCTACGGATTATGCAAGCTGAGAAGACACTTCCTGAAACACTATGCTAGGCTAACTCTTAATGAACTAACTTGGATTCTAGTACTATGCATCTTATCCTACATGTAATATCATGCAGTCTATGTTAATTAAACATTTCTATACATACGTATATGACTAACCCTAGAAACCAGGCTTGTGAAGGACACAGAGGTAATTAGGGGGTAGCCAGCATGGATTCATCAAGGGGAAATCATGTTTGACAATCCTGATATCCTTCTATGATGAAAAGACTGGCTTGGTGGATGAGGAGAGATCAGTACTCATTGTCTAACATGATTTCAAGGGGGTTTTCAGCACCATCTCCCATTACATCCTTCTCAGACAAGCCATTGATGCATGAGAGATGGATTGAAAATTGGGTCCAGAGAGTCACAATTAAAAGCACAAAATCTAATTGGATGCCAGTAACTAGCACTGTATCCCAGAGCTCAATACTGCGTCCAGCACATCTCATATGAGGAAAGGCTGAGACTATCCAGTCTAGAGAAAAGAAGACTTACGGAAGGTCTCACCATCATAAATTCCTGATGGAAGAGTGCAAAGAGGATAGAGACAAGCTCTTTTCAGTGGTGTCAAGTGTCAGGATGAGAGGCAACTGGAACAAACCATAACACAAGAGATTCCCTCTGAACATCAAGAAGTACTTCTACGATGTGAAGTGATGGAGCACTGGCACAGGCTGTCCAGAGAGGCTGTGGATTCTCTTCCTTAGAGATCTTCAGAAGCTACTTGGGTGTGGTCCTGGGCACCCTGCTCTGGCTATGCCTGCTTGAGAAGGGTTTGGACCAGCTGGCCTCCAGATCTCTGCCAATCTCATGCAGTCTGTGGTTCTGAGTTGATCCTTTCAAAAATTAACATGGCTAGCTTGATGGAGCTGCACTCTTTAATACTTTAACACTCTTCATATCTTTGCACAACATCACAATTGTTAATGTGTGTTGAAGAATTAAAAAAATCCAACGCAAATTCTGATCATGCATCACAAACATGCTCTGCTCAACATGCTCAACAGAAATTCAGAGGGTAAATTCATAGACATAGAGTTTTACAACCTTCTAAGTTCTAAAGCAAGAACATGTTTTGAAGTGCTGGAAACAAATAAGAACATGCTCCTATTAAGTATTTTGCCATTGTCCACAGAGAATGTAACATCAGCAAATCTCCATTATTGAGGACAGAAAGCTTGTACCAACAGTTCTCAGCTAGAAACAGAGGGCAATTAAAATAGTACCTATTCACTTCTCCCTTTTTGTCTTCATGTCATCCTCAGTCTGTCTGACATTTTTTCAGTTGTTGTCTGTTTGTACTTTGGTTGTTTTGTTTCTCCTTCCTCAGTTCATTAAAAAAAAGAAAAAGAAAGAGGGGGAAAGAGAGGGAGGAGAGAAGGGCAACCCCATACTCCTCTCCTTACTACCTTGCTATTATTTTTAGACAGCTTAAGCTGCTGTATTGCACCCTGCTCACTGCCACTGGAGTGTTCCAGTTCCACTTAATTCATGCTCCTCTCATCAGATTTCCACTTCTTTGGTTTTCACTTATTTCCTCATATTGTTTCCCCTCTAATTATTTACTCTCTCCACTTAGCACTGCTTCTTTTGTTTGCTCTTTCTTCCAACGTCTCCCACCTTCATATTCCCATACATGTGATAGGAAGTACATGCAATTCAACCTTCCCCCTGCTCCCCTTTTCTCATTCTCAACCCATTTCCTAACCAGCTGCCAAAATTTGACCCAAGTTTATCTGGAAAATAAGACAGATTGAGCTGCTTCCCTTCATCTTAGTTTGGCTCCGCACCAGTCATCTGACTGCCAAACTAAATGGCCTCAAGTCATAGACGCCCAGATAATCAAATCCTCAAAGGCTACAGCACTCCTATAGATGTCTGTAGAAGCATCCCACCCTTTTTACAGCCACCACCCTTGGATAGGTGAACCACTGCAATATTGCTAAGGTAACATGGGGAGAAAGGAATACTGAGAAACATTGACAAATGGGCCCCTCCATTACATGTTTCCAGTCACATCTCCCTTCCCTGAAACCAAGTGAAGAACATGCACAGGCTGAGGAAGCTGATTCCCCACTCTTTTCACCACGTAGAAAAGAGCTCCTTTGAAGCCCTTGGATCCTGAACATTTAGTTAAAAAAAAAGTTGTGCTGCCAACCACTCCATCTCTCAAATAGCTTTATAGTGCCACACGAATCTTTCAAGATTTTTTATTTATTAAATGCTGTAGAAAATACCCTTTGGCATTTCAAAGGTGAATACCTCAAGTTCTTTCATAACATCAAGGGCATTTGCCTCATTTAATCTACATCTACTGTAGTTGTGCTTCAAACATTTCTAGCAAGCATTTTTTGGCCTTCCTATTTCTAAAAGGAAAATCAAGATATTAATGATGGCTTCCTTTATCTCAAGTTGCATAGTTTACTGCATAGGAAGAACAGTGGGGGTTACAGTTCCCAAAAACAGTGGGACCGTGCCTGGGGATCAGTGACTGCACATAAATGTGAACTTGCTTCTGTAACACACACACAACACTTAAGACTACCAAAACTCTAGCAATAATTACACGTATGGAAACAACAGCAGATACAGAAACAAATGAAACCTTAAAGAGAAAGATTCCTTTGTGAGACTTTGCAAGGGGAGGGGTGGGTATGCATGCAGTAATTGAAAACTGCAATTGTTAACAAAGCCTAAAAATCTTTTTCCTCCTCATTCTAGTGTTGATTAGGTGAGCAGAGGGCCAGGACTTGGCAGAGGAATCATCTTCACCTGACCAGTATTTTTCCTTTTTGCAAATTAACTCACACATCTACATAAAGCTATATATTCTACAAACAGCGCATACACATCCAAAGAAATTCTTCTTTGTGGGTGGTCATAACATACTTACATAGGCTAAGTATGTGGACTACAAACAATAGCCAAGGAACTTCACTGTCATCTTTAATAGCACAAAAGAACATGACTAATAGGCACAGTTGCAAGTTTGTGGATTGACCAGAACAATCTACAGGACTCATCCCAATTTACCCTGTACTAGAAAGGGAAAACGAATATTCAGCTGGGGGCTGGAGAAAAATTTCTTCACTGCTAATAAATGCTACAGTCACCATCCATTCAGAACTGATATTAAAGAAAACACTATTCCTTCATGTAACAGCCAAACAATAGGGTTATCCAGTAAAAGCACATGTCACATTCAATAATATAGGTCAAGGACTTGGAGCGAACAGACCGCAGCTGTGAGGGAGACAGAAAGGCAGGAAAGAACTTGCAGAACTAGAATATGGGGAGTGAGAGAGGAGGGCTGACCTGGGGAACTACAGGCCAGTGAATTTCACATTTGAACCTGGGAAGATCATGGCACAGATCCCCCTGGAAGATATGTTTAGGAATATGCTAGACGAGGAGGTGAACAGAGAAAACCAGCATGGCTTCACCACGGGTAGATCATGCCTGACCAACCTGATGACCTACTGCAATGGAGTGAAGCACAACATGGACTTGTACAAAATCTTTGATGTGTTTCCACACCACATCCTTATCTCTATATTGGAGAGATATGGATTTGAAGGCTGGACTAATCAGTGGATAAAGAATTGGTTAGAAGAACACAGCCAGAGGTGAGATGTTAGGAAATTATTTTGGGCGGTGAGGCACTGGCATAGGTTGCACAGAGAAGCTGTGGGTACTCCATCCTTGGAGGCATTCAAGGCTAGGTTGGATGGGGCTCTATGCATTCTAACCTCAGGAGGCAGCCCTGTCCACATCGGGGGGTTAGAACTGAGTGAACTATTCAATGATTCTATGAAAGGAAAAGTGAAATTCTTCAGACAAAACCTTTAAAAGTGCAAACAAGCTGTCTGCTGTTTCTTTCTAGTTATATTTTCCAGTCGGTTTTCTTTTTTGACTTTTTTTTTTTTTTGGTAAATGTTACTCCAAAGAGTTTGTCACTACTCACTACTACATCAACTGCAGGATAGTTATTTCTTCAAGAAATAACTATCAAGCTTAAATTCATCTAATAAATAAAAGCAAGAAATAAACAGAAACAATGATGTTACACATGAAAACCTTCATCTAGGTAACCAGCAAATCTCAATTCCATTGTAAGGTCTATTCATCCTGCTGTGAGATCAAAGTGTATAAAACACAGCACTAACGAACAGTTAACATAATTCTAATCAAGATTCCTACCTTCACAATGCTTTTCAGATCCTGTACATACATCCTCTCTGTCTCCAGGATCTCTTGGACAACTCTGTCTACGTAGAGGAGCTTGGGACTGGTGGGCTCTGTCACGAGGGACATTGCACAGTTTTTGCCTGCTCCTTTTGGTTCTGCCTTCCTTGGAGTGCTTAGCTTTTTTTCAAGGCTCTCCTCGGGATCCTCGTGCTCTGCAGGGGTGTTCTTGCGTGGTTTGTTGCTGGAAAACCTTCTGGCTGGGACTAATTCTAACTTGATGGCTCCTGTTTCTTTTTCCTGGTTAAATAGGCCCAAGTGGCTGTTTGAAACTAATGTCATCCTGCTTCCAAAGGAACAGTGGCTGTCCCTGGAGGAAGCAGAGGAGGAAGTGGAGCTAAAGCTGACGGGACGGTCACTGTCTGACAGGTCCATGGTTTTTTTTTCACAGCAGCGGAAAGGTCTGCTCTCCTTGTGCAGATCTTCTCCTTTTGTCTTGGAGTCAAGGGCCTCCGTCACAGCTGGTAAAACATCTAGAGGTAAGTGGAAGTCATCTAAAAAAAAAAAAAAAAAACCACAGAAAAAGTGGTTTTATCATTGTTACTCCATATAACCTCACAGTTGACAACAGACATTTCTAAAGCTTTGCACACTAAACTGAGGCAAATTTATTTTTCCAAAAAAAGACAACCAGAATGATACGATTTGGGGATCGCTGTAGATCTAACGCTTTTTAGATGGTGGTGATATCCCACTGGAGGCTACTGCATACATCCAGACTACTTCCAGTTCATGTATATACCTCTGTCACATGCCTTCTTGGTCTCATGTGCTATGGTGCTGGGCTTGGCATCAGCATGTGCATTCTCTCATGCAGAGCCTTGACAGAGATACAACTCAAATATTTCCCCTAAGGTTAAGAAACTCCATTGGGAAGAGATCTTTCTATCTCTAAGTTTGAGAGCTGACCATGGTTTGGAGGCTTTGGAAAACTCAAGGATTGTGTCAGGGATACATAGCAGTATCGTCCATTTTGAATACTGCAAGGTCAACCCACTCAAACAGAAACTAAAAGCATTTATCATTTACCAGCACTGCAGCTTATACAGAAACAATAAAACCAGAATGATTTCCCAGTGAAAATAACATAGCTTTTTTAAAAAAAATAATTCCCACAGGAAACAGCACTGCCAAATGCTACTGCCTTCCAGTAATCCAGTAGATTTTCTGAACCTGTTCAACTCAAGCCAGAACATTACCCCTTTTTAACTGACAAAAGCTGTTTTTCAGATCAATGCAATAACAAAATAAGATGTCTGTCTTCCTGTCCACATATTGAATCTACTTTCTTTTTATTGACAATATGACCTGAAGGACATTTTCTGTGATGCAGTGCAGATTTCTCTCTGACCAAGTTGTGTGCAGTCCACCATGAGAACCTGCAAAAGCAGCTGCAGATAAACTGAACACCTGAAGTTTCCTTTCAGCAAGAAGCATTCACCCAAAAACCATGTCTCAAACTCAAAGAAGTTTGGAATATCTGTTCTGTGACAAAAAAAACTTGTGGCAATGTAGGAAGAGAAGTAATACTGACGGACTGCTTATTCCCTGCAATTGCAAGGGAATACTGCTTCTGCTGCAATCATTCCAAAGCAAAATTCAAAGCAAACAAATAGGAGCCCATTTTGAATGCACAGGATTAAATTTGTATTTAATACTACCATTTTAGTGATGATAATATCAGCTTTTTGTTAAGAAAAATTACTGCCCTCAGGGTAATGTGTAGAATTGATGTCGAGAACAGTTTTCTTGTTATCAAACAAGAAACTGTCCATTAAATTTAAATCTAATTTGGTATTTCTGTCCCTCTGGTTTTGTCTTCTAAGGGTGAAGATCTGCAGCCCTTCTTTATGTCAGGTTCTTGCATATTTGCAGCACATAATCAGCACAGAATCAAATTTTCTGATTTTTCTCGAATTAACCAAATGAAGTAAAAGCTCCAAAACAAAATATAAAGCAAGAAATCTGGAAAATATTTAAAACTGAAGAATGCAGTGAAGTTTTCTTGTTTCAAAATGGGTATGGACAAAGGTGTTTGCCTTCCTACTGCTTGTGATAAGAAAGTATGCGTTTTTGATAAGAATATATTTTTGCTATCAGCTTCAGATCATTTTTCAAGTTAAGTTAGAAAGCACAACATTATTGTGCAGATGTAAACCCCGATGAAAAATGCACAGGATAAATAAGATAACAGGGATACCCTTCCGCTAAGTTACTCCAGAAGATTTTACGAAAATTACATGACAAAGAAACACCTGATTAGCCACGTTTAGTGGGAAAACAAAGGGTTCCTGTTACATTCCATCGCTCCACGCTCCCTTTTTCTTCCTGTTTCTCTGATAGGCTGTCTGCCTCACAGATAACCTGAAGGCATTAATATGCAATATTTGCTCCGCAAATACTTTGAGGCTCATTAATACAAAATCCAAACAAAACACAGTCCAGGTCAATGAAATCAAAGCCAGAATAAAAGTAGTTTTTCACAAGACATACTTGTAGCCAGAAACATGGGGAGGTTTGAACACACCTTAAAGAAAACAAACAAAACTGTACTTCTGTGTTTAATGGCAATGTCATTGCTTATTAAAAGTAACAACAAGAAGGATTAGTTGTAGTAGTTGAACTGTGCTTGTTCAAACACCTGCACTCCCACAGACCTTCAGCTCCTGCTGGATGTGGCTAATTAATTGCATACAACACATTTGACTCAAGTTCCTCCATTTTCATACACATCATTATTCCTGGATGTTTGTCTATCAATTCCTGCAAGCAAACTCTTTGGTAATTGAAAATATTGGTCAGCTTTGTCCCCAGGTTTTCATCCTGCCTGCCACCTTCAAAGTTCATTCGGCTTGACATTCAACCAGGAAGCAGACTCCTGTCCCCAGCTTCCAAGCCCTGTAACAAACACTGTGCACCCTGCTAACATCAACCAGAGCTGACAGATAAGTCCTGGCTCTCCCAGCCATGAATTTCTATCTGAGCTACCTGTTACAAAGCCACAGTCCTTCCAAACAACAAAAATTCTGAACATCTCCCAAGGTTTATCTTCAGAAGCCCCTCTGAGGCTAGGCAGCATGGTTGCTTGAATCAGGCATGGATATTTTAGATGATTTCTCCAGGCACAATTTCATCAGAAAACACAGAAACTAAACCCCCTTTGTTGATGCAGTCCCATGCCCATCCTTCCTCCTTTGTGCCAGGGTTTGGATTTAGCTTTTCACAGCTCTGATACAGTTTTAAAGTAAAATAACTTCACTCTTCTGCAAATAGACAGAATTCTGCAACTTCTGGCTGGTAAAAAACAAAAACAAACAAACAAACAAACAAAAAGTCATCTTTTTTGTTTGTTTGTTTTGGGGGGAGTGAAGGGGGGAAACAACCTCCCCCAAAATTGGTCTCGCCACAGCTAAGAAGGCTGCCCTCTGCTGACTGTTCCTTAGAGAACACTGCAACCTCTCACAAATTCCTCTTGGAAACAAAATTGTTTTCATAAAAAGCAAACTAATTTCTCAGATATATAAGGCTGCACAATCCCCATGCCTCCACTACCACCGATGTCACAGCATCAGCAGCAACTGGAGGCACCCAGCTGCCAGCAGCATGCACAGCCAGGAGTACAGCAGCTCTCCCACCAGGGACAGGCTTGGAGCTTGTGCTCCCTGACCCACATCTGGCCGGGTCACTACGTTTTCGTTCGGCATTCTTTTGTTTACTGGACCCTTTCAAAGATGAGCCAAACTAACACTGGGAACTTTTGTGAATTGTGAATAACGGTATTAACTCAGTCTGGAGGGAAAAAAAAATCTAAAATTTGCATACTTTAATTAAGGAATAACAGTGATGACTTGTTAGTTCAGCACTGAAAGGAGGATAATTGCATATTTGTCCATACTCACAAAGCAAAACACTCCCCAAACAAGGTCGTTTCTTGTTTGAGCCTCTGCATGAACCCAGCTAGCCCTCCCCCAGCCCCACAATCCTCCCCTCCCCCTCTGCCCCCTGCACCCCACTGACACACACACACACACACACACACAGCATGCTGGCAGGATACAACCTCAGTCTGCTTCTGAGAAAGAGCCACAACTTGTGCACATCCTACAGTGGTACAAGGACAAGAAACACCAGGTTTCATTCAGCAGTAGTGCTTCAACACTGAAGTGGCATTCAAAGCAACTCTCTTACCATATCTGTTTTCAGCACATAATCATAACCAGCTTCTCACTGAAGTGCATAAACTTCTTTTATCACTTGCTTTTCTGTAATATATATCTCCTGCTTCTAACTACATTCATAGTAATGATAAATGGCTTTTTATTATCTCTGCAACCTTGGCTACTTGAGGACATTAGCATATGATGAGAGATAAAACAGTCTAAGTCAACTTTATATTTGAATACAAGCCCCATCTAAATATAGGTGTTTATTCCTTTGAGTTGTTTACTGTGTATGGCATTTTAAGAAACAGAGCACAGTTAATAACTCACAAGTCAATTTATATTCATAATTAGTATCGTTGTTGCTTTTCTTCTGGCATGAAAAAGAGCACCAACGATATTATCTGCAAAGTCAACATTACCAAAAATTGCAGCTTCACATCCTCTGGAAGGTCAGCTAAATAAAAGTGATGAGACTACAAGAATCTTTTCCTGCATTCTCTTTGAAATATCTGCATTTCTCCAAGAAAGCATTTATGTTGTAGATACAATAAAGCAGGACTGTTTATAGCAATTTCTACGTTCAGTATTAAGTTCAGACACAGCACTGGGATTTAGAAACATTAACGTCATACAGCTGCCTGACTGAGAAAGTTTAAAATCCATTCACTGCAATAATCCCAACATCCCCACATCCTCTGCTTTGAACGCTACCCAAGTGAAGCTCTGCACATTATTAGTTCCTAACTTCTGAATATGAACATGTCATTTCTAAAAGTAATAACCTCTGTGAACAAAGCCACATTAGACAGCTACACTATTTGCGGGATTATATTTCTTGATACTATGAATTCAGCATTAACTGCCACGAACGACACGTTGCCAAGTATTTTAACTGAACTTTGAGCAACAGAAATGCCATTTATTAGCGATCTTACAACAAGGAAAAAACAGCCATCAACTAATGTGTCTCTGTCTGCCCAACCACCCTCCCCACCACACAACGCTTAAAGCAGAACAGCCTCTGTCAGAACCGAGCCCGCTAATGCCCGAGAACATTATTGCAAGGGAAAATCCTCTGCGACAGTATCTCACCACTGAGGAATGTCTCTGGCTCCCTGCACAGAGAACGAACAAGTCCTCTATTTCTCAGATCCTCTCAGAACAAACCACGACCTACCTGTGCAGCAGGGAGTAAATGCACGCTCTGCCTTCAGCTGTTCCCGAATTACATCACTTGGGCACTCAGGTAAAATGAGAAGCTCCTGCTAGTCCATACAGCTCCTTCGCCAGAAATATTGCATGAGTCAGCTTTTATCTATCAAAACCCTAAA